AGGCCAGGCCAATACATAGCTCCGTGAGTCAGACAATAGATCAAACGAAGAGTCACCTCTGCTTCTTTAGGCCTTTGATTTGTATCCTTATTCACATCAGACATGGGCTTCTCATTTCTTTGTTAATACCACAATTCCCAGTGTTCTTCACTTTCAAATGAGTCTGACCTTCCAGCACAGAGGCACTCCTCCTCTAGCCTACTGTGCACCCCAGGCTTCCCTGCACCTCATGCAGATGGGCTGTATGGCTGCATGCAGGTAGACTCTGCGCTGTCTTCAGGTCGATCCGATTACTCTCCTGTGGTGAGAATAATGGCCTTGCCTGAAGGTGTGGATCTTTAGGAGAGGCCATTATCTGCCTGACAAGTCCTCCTTGGTCTTCTGCACAAGGCCATGGTGTCTAGGCCAGAAAGATAGCCAGTCGCAGCAGCACATCAGTATATCACATGCACTTAAAATGACAATATCCTACACTGCTGATGGTAAATAATGCGACTGTTTTTTTTTTGTTTTGTTTTGTTTTTTTTTAATTGAGGATAGAGTGTTGCAGAGACACAGCTAGCCATTGAATTTAATATAGTGTGTCCTCCTCTTGCCAGTCTTAAAGGGATAGTTCACCCAAAAATGTAAGTTCTGTCATTATTTATTTGCTCTTGTGTCATCGTAAATTTAAATTGTAAATTCTTTTTTTCGTAAGTGGAAAAGACAAGGCTGTTTTTGCCTTTGCATTGAAAGTAATTTGGGACTGAGGGGGTTGAGTTTCAAAGAAAAGAAAAACACAATAAACTTGTTCATATAACTTTTTGCTGTCCTTTAAGTATTCCGAAGCAATACAGTGAATAAATATAAAGAAATTTATCATAAAAAGTATACATTTTTACCTCTCAATGAATAGTTTGATGTATTCATTAATTAAACTTCAGTTTATTCCTAATACAAATCTATCATATTACTTGCAACAGTGAGTAAGTCATTTGGGTTGTTTTATGGTTCTTTTTATACATTTTGGTGCTTGACTTAGTCTTAATTAATTTTTATTGAACATTGTGTGATAATCTGCAGTTGTTACCTTAAGGAGATAGTTCTACATCATCTAACTCTTAAATGTAGTTTTTGTTGGTGTAACCTAATTTAGTTTGATTGATTCAGTGGTTTTAAAGTATTTATTTGTCTCCAGTCCATGGAAAAGATCAACATTTTTTGCTTGTTCAGCAGAAAAAAAAGTCATACAGGTTTTGAACAACATGAGGGTGAGTAAATGTCCCTTTAAGACATTCTTTACTGTGCTGCTAGTGCACCCACTGTGGCCCAGTCCTTATTTGCAACTCTATACCATGATGTGTTCTACAATTAGCATCCAAGTTAAGAGTATAAAGAAAGAACACTGGCCCTGAGATTTATTGCCCTGTCCCAAAATGCACTCCCACAAAGGGCACAGCAGGGTGACTGGGTTGTAGCCCAGTACTGACAATCCAAGTGCTTTTTAGCTGCAATAAAGGATATGTTGATATTAAGCACAGCAGCTGGGTTTTTTTTTTTTGTTAATTAATAATAATAATAATAAACTTTTAATCTTTTACATTTGAATTTTAAAGATAAATGCTTTTTTTCCCCTCCAGAAATTACAGTTTGCTCTCCAGCCATTGGTTGGTGGGCACGGGATACAAAACTGGTCCCAGAGGTTGGCCTGAATGAACAGTGGGTCACAATGAGCCCTTTTCCCGCAGCTGGAGCAGCTGCGGTCCTTTTGATAGAATGAGGTCAATTCAGGAATGGAGATGGCTAGAACTGATTGAGGGGCCTACTCAAAGGAATAAGGTACAAACTGTTTTGTATCAGTGGAAAGAAGTAGCACCCTTTCCCCCCTTTTTCCCTCCTCGCCTTATTTCTTTGCATGTCGGTGTCAGGAATAAATCATTTAAATTGTTCTCTGATTCCCCCTTCCACCATTTGGCAAAATGATAATTGAAACATTAATAGGACGTTAATAGGATGTGTGTCCCAGTAACCTTTGAGATAAATCTCTGTATAATGGGATGAATTCACCCTGACCAACAGGAATCCAGAGTAATTAAACATGAGGTGACGAGGCTAATTTGGGCATGCCTTATAATTCATTTGTAGCTTAGAGCAGTGTGCGCTGCCACTGGAACAGATTTAGTTGTCGGAGGAAGAACGCATTTGTTGGTCATTACGCTGAGTTTGTTTGCAGAACTAATGATGAGGCCTACAAGCCTTTTTGAATTTAAAGCATTGGGTTAAGTGTAATGTCCTATGAGTGACCCTGATTCTGAACACCATTAAAACATAACATAGTGTAGTGCAATCACTATAGGCAGTCGGTTGCATGCATTTGAGTTTTGTTGTAAAAAAAGTTGTAACGAGGCGCCCCTCTTTCAGTGTCATTTGGGATCGTTTATCAGTTGTTGTTTTGACAGATAAGTAGCACTGAATTGCACTGGGTATGAATCCAAGTAATGATGTACTTGGCCAGTTGCGTGCTTCATCCACTTCAGCAAATTAGAACAACCAGCCATTTGAAATTGACACTCCTCAGTTGGATGATTCCCAAATGGCTGCTTTATTTGGCAGCACTAGGTGTGTTTGCTGCTGTCGTTTTTAATTTACGCAATTAGTCAGAATCAGGATATCTAAAAATGATGTTGCAGAAGGATTCTGTACCGAGGCCTTTAGATTGGACTGCAGTGAAAATGAATTTTCATTTGATTCTCATCGCTGCAGCCGCCATTGCCACGCACATTAGCATATTACTTTCTAGGAAAATTAACAGTAGATATTCATATCACATTATAGATTTTAATGAATTATGGCAAGACAAAAGATCGCTTAAGAAAGGATAATTGCTGTATGCTGAACTCGGGTTGCGCTCATTACTTTTCAACAATGCCGTCTTGCTCTCTTCCTCTCCAGTTGGGGCGGATCTATTCCATTATGAGCCATTTGATGGCAAATTAAAAAGAGTGTGATGGAAACATGCAGAACTGATGAATTTAGACAAGGAGACAAAGTGGAGAACATTTAATAGTTTAATAATAAGCTGCAGTATACATTCAGTGATAATTCCGTTTTTCATGTTGCCAGAAGCTGTTTGGTGAGACCAGCAAAAAACATTCAGCTACTAGATCTATATCTTTTTCACATTAGACAAGGAGACAAAGTGGAGAACATTTAATAGTTTAATAATAAGCTGCAGTATACATTCAGTGATAATTCCGTTTTTCTTGTTGCCTGAAGCTGTTTGGTGAGACCAGCAAAAACATTCAGCTACTAGATCTATATCTTTTTCACATGTTGCTGCTGTTTGTACTTCCCATATTATAACACAAGTATTGCAAAGAAACTGATTTTGCAATTTTTCTCCATTCCCCGTATGGCAATTCCACCAAATCTGTTTTATTCTCTCTCTTCTTTCTTTCTCTTACAGAAAAAAACAAGCTTGTTTGGTTGGGCTTGGTACAGCGTTCTTAAATGATCTGGAAAAATGGAGGGCTGTACTTGATGATAGATACCAAAGCAAGTCTGTCTCAGAGCATCTGGGTTTGCTTTACGTGTAAATTATATCCATTTAGCGCCTCTCAGACACTTCAGAAATGAGTGGAACTGCCTTGAGTGACTTGGAATGGTAGTGTTACTCTTACCCTTACTTGAGTATTAAGATTAAACAACAACCTGTTATCTTGAAATTTTAATGTTTGTTGCAGTTTTTTGGTTTCTTTTGCTATCTCACTCTAAGCTCATTGTACTGACACACTACTGTTGGTGTTGATTTTTTTTTTAGTTTTTTCTCTTTTTTTGCCCACACAGAAACTTGATGGCACAAGAACTGACCAATAAGAAACTCTTTTACAACATGGTAGATTGCAATCAACAGTTGCCAGGGGTAACACAGTGAACAAAAATTCAAGATCAATTGAAAAAAAAAAAAAAAA